GGCTTTATTGGATAAATCTAAGACATATAAACTAATCTAACACATAAACACACACATTCACACAAGTTGCAGGAAGATAGAAAGTAAGGAAAGAATGAGTTTAAGAGAGTGAAAATGTGAAATCCAAAGTTAGTGGCAAAAAGGCAAGGAAAAACCTAAAAGCATGACTAAAGAAACATGACTAAAAAGCTAGAAGCGATGAATCACATGTTATCTTATCAGTCACATGGATCCGAATTTTCCCGCTCTTGCAGAGTATAATTTTGGACATGATTTCTAAAACAAGAATATGATACATTTGACAAAGAATTGATTGGAAGAAACGTTTCAAGCAAGAAGTTTCAAACACACACATACTAAACATGAATATGAACCCTTAAGCTATTCAATAGTTATTAAAAAGACACAATAAGTGATTAGAACATGCTAGTCAAATGTGTGGGTTACATACATGATATGGAGTTATGCACCTTAACTTAGTGTCAGGTGTTCTACCTATTGTGAGAATAGCTGCATGTTTCTTCATGGTGGGTGTACGTAACTTTGTTATGCTAAAATTTGGATATTCTACTTGTGGGAAGAATATGTTTGTTGAATGTGTTATCAGTAGATGTGGTTACCTCTGTGTGTAGGTAATGTTGTTTGTGTTAATGGTGTAGTGTAGGTGTTGTCAGATCTGTTTCAGTCTGTGTTGTCTCCCCCCTTTTCTTGTATGTCAGTGAAGACTGGCTCTCTGCATCCTTGGCTTGGATGAGGGCGTGTCCATGATCTAATGGGGGTCAGTCCAGCAAGGCAGGAAGTTCTTTAGCAGACAGTCGGAGGTAGTTTGGCATGACTGTGTGAAGCTGGGCTGCAAAACTTTGTCTCCTATGTTGCATTTCTCTTGTGATGCCTTCTGATTGTGGCAGACTTTCTGACCTTCTGTGCTTTGGTGGTTGCTGTTGCACAGACAGGAATGTGGTTCTTGGAGATGGAGTTCATTTGACAGTTTGTTAGTGAGCGATGTGTGACTGAGGTGATGTTCTTTGGTACCTCAGAGTTTTCATCAACTTGGCCGTGAGAGACTTGCTCGTTCTGGGTGGTTGTTGAACAGGTGCTTGTCATCTCTGATGTGGCGTACCAGATGATCACCGGCCTTCCGTTCTGTCGCTGGTCACAGCGAGCATGACTCAACTTTGTGGTCATATGTGTGAAGCTTGTCTTGAAGGAACTCTTTCAGTCTCAACTTTGTGGTCATATGTGTGAAGCTTGTCTTGAAGGAACTCTTTCAGTTGTCTCATGACTTGTTCCATGTCTTCTGATGGTAAGCTGTCTTGTTCTTGTGCATACTCAGCACTGTGCATGTCTGAGTGGTGCTGAGGTGCGTTTTGTTGTTGCTTTCCCACACGAGTTTCTCTTGGATGAGTCGGGCGTTTACCTTTGGATGTCTGGTTAGGTTTCCAGTTGTTCTTATCTTTTGGGTTTCTCGAGAAGCATGGCTGGTCCCATGGATTTTTCCAGCGGTTGGTCTGATAGCTGTCGTGGTCATGGGTGTCACGTTCTCTGTGCTCTTGATGGAAGACTCTGGTGTCGTGATGCCACTGGGTGTCGTCCAGTGCAAGGCTTGAGTCTTTGGTTACAGAGTTCAAGAGTGTGGATGTTTTGTTACCTTTCTTTGAGGCCATCTTCTGCTTGTTGTAGGCCTTCTGTGTTAGGTCACGCAACTGTTGGATGGTCATGGAGCGTGGACAGGCCATGACGCCAAGATGGTGGCTGACTTGGCTGACTCGATTTCTTAGGAAGAGGCTTTTGAAGTTCACATCGTCTTCACGGTCAGGTTCGTTGTGTGCGTTGTGTGCGGCTTGACGGAGTCGGTTGTAGTAAGCTTGTGGAACCTCTTGTCGACCTTGTTTGATCTCCAAGGCAGTTAACAGTCCATGTTCAGACTCAGGGTCTGTAAACTCTTTAATCAGGACCTCACGAAGTAGCTGGTAGCTTGACTTTGTTTGACTGGGCTGTCGATCTAGGAAGTTTCGTACCTCAGGACTGGACGTGGCTCTAAGGAGGTATAACCTGTCTCTGTCAGTCACATGAGGTCTCATTTCCAGATGAAATTCGATATCTTGCAGGTAAGCCTGGATGTCGTGGCCCTCTGCGGAGTTTGGGTTGAAACTGCTGATGGTTTTAGACAGCTTGTTGAGGTCTTTGATGGTCATCCCATGTGCAGCTCCAAGGTCTGCTTGGATGGGAGGTATTCTTTCGTTGGCAGGAAAGGGTTGTGTGGCGAAGGCAGGTGAGGTTTTGGGTTGTGGCCCTTCGCGCCTTTCGTCATATGCCAGTTCTTGGACGTGGGACTCTGCTCTGCTCAGCAGTGGTGAGGCTGAGAGATGCTTCTCTTTTCTTGGCTCTTGTTTCAGCTCATAAGCATCTTTGAGTTCTTTTCTGACCATGTAGAGCTCATCGTTGGTATCGTCTAGTTGTTGGGTCAGATTGTCCATTTCAGTTATGTACCTTTCAAGGTGGTCTTTCAAGGTACTGATTTCAACATTCTTGTTTCTGATGTCATTCTTGGCTTTCTCTAGTAGCTGTTCGGCATACTGGAGTCTGTTTACCAGGTCTTTCTGGACAGCCTTTGAATGTTGTTGGTCGAGCTGCGCTGCTGCCAGGGCTGCTTGGAGCTTCTTAACTTGTTCTGTTGTTTCCTGCTCCTTCTCGTTGGGTGCTTTGAGTTGATCTTGAACTTTCACTTCCAGCTTGTCTATGCGGCGTTGAGCACGTGTCAGCTCCTCTTGAAGGTGGGTGATGTGCTTGTCGCTCAGTTTCAGCTGGGTTGTGAAGGCGTAGCTTAGGGAGCTGGTGATTTTGACTAGCTCCTCGTGGTTGTTGTTCTGGCTTGAATCTTGTGTCAGGAATCTTCTCAGGATTAGGATTATTATTAAAAATAATAACAGTTCAAATGTCTTGGGGGTGAGGCTGTCTGTCATGCCTCTCAGCCAAGTGTTCACATCTTCCCCATGGGCAATGGGGTCTGCAGTCTGCGGCATGTTGGCACGCTGGGGAGAAGAGAGACTGACACAGATCTGTGTGGAGTAGAAGCCTATGTGTGGTGGGACAACTAAGTGTGGAGTCAGTGATTGTGACCCACTAGTGAAGTGTGGTGATGATTGTGTTGGTCTCGGGGTGTCTAAGTAGACTAGGGATGCGAAGACTTCATCACTTCTAATGAGGAAGAGGAAAAAGAGAGAAAAAGGTGAAAAACAATTCAATGAAAAGAAACAATTCCTTTTCGGTTTAGAGAAAATGGTGATCTTGACTAGCTCCTCGTGGTTGTTGTTCTGGCTTGAATCTTGTGTCAGGAATCTTCTCAGGGTTAGGATTATTATTAAAAATAACAACAGTTCAAATGTCTTTGGGGTGAGGCTGTCTGTCAAGCCTCTCAGCCAAGTGTTCACATCTTCCCCA